TGAGATTTCTTGGTACTCTTTTTAATAATTTTTCTGTAAATCTAAAATCAGTTCATATTAAAATGTTAAGAGAGACAGGCAACAATACATTATGGATCTCATAGGAGAAGTATACAATACTACCTTATAAAGTAATCTTGTACTCTCTACCTCACCCCCCCTCCCAAAAAACCATGTGGATTTAGATCCTCTAGAATCTGAAACTAACTATCCATCTACAGAAAAACCATGGTAAAGAACACAATAGATATGCAATAAACAACTCCAGACCAAAGGAAATTATAGAATGAACAACCAGTTATCTTCAACAAAATATTAAGGGATAAGAGAAAGAGAATATGAATGAATATCTGCACAAAAATTTGTACATGAATGTTCGTAACAGCATTATTTGAAATAAATAGAAAGTGAACCAACCCAAATTGTCCATCAATTGAAGAATAAACAAAATGTATATCCACCCAATGGAATATCATTCAGCTATAAAATGTAATGAAGAAATTCAGGCAATAATATGAAAAAAACTTGAAAACATTATGATAGATCTTAAAAAGTCAGACACACAAATTATTATTATAAGGGGCACCTGACTGGCTCAGTTGGTAGAGCATGTGACTCCTAAACTCAGGGTTCTAAATTCAAGCTCCAGGGAGGGCATAGAGCTTACTTTAAAAAAAAAAAAAAAAAAAAAACTGGGATGCCTGGATGGCCTAGGGATGCCTGGGTGGCTCAGCGGTTGAACATCTGCCTTTGACTTAGGGTGTGATCCTGGGGTCCAGGATCAAATCTTGCATCAAGTTCCTTGCGGAGAGCCTGCTTCTCCCTCTGCCCATGTCTCTGCCTCTCTCTCTGTGTGTCTCTCATGAATAAATAAATAAAATATTTAAAAAGAAAACAAAAACAAAAACCCCCATCTGTACATATTATATGATACTGTAATAGGAAATGTCCAGAACAGGCCAATATGTAGAGACAGAAAGTGTATTAGTGGCTTCCAGAGGCTGAGAGGAAGGCGGAATGAGAAGTAATTGGTTTCCTTTTGAGGTGGTGAAAACATTTTGAAACTAGATAGTGTTAATACTTACACAGCTTTGTAGGCGTACTAAAAACCACTCAATTGTGCACTTCAAAAGAATAGATTTTTTGCTATGTGGATTATATATCAGTTAAAAAAAAAAAGATGGACAAGGAAAAAAAGAGAGACTTAAGAGTACTACCAACCAATCATAATCTATTCTTTGGATCTTGATTTAAGCAAACTATAAAAAAGAAAAAATGTATAAAAGAAAAAACATGAAAACTAAGTAGATATTTGATGATACTGTTTACAGAATCCTAAACGATCAAAGAATGCTAAACTGAATAGGCTATAGATTGAGAAGGCATTCACGTAGATACTAAGTACCTCCCCAAAATAACTTACTAAATACAAAGGGACACCACCTTGACCAAGTCATCAACCTAATATAACCAATATTAGGACAAATCCAATTATGTGCTTCCTAATACAATGCACTGAGAGGGACACAATATGACTTCCGTGGCATCCCTACAAAGAAAACATAACCTGGAAAAACAAACAAACAAAAAACCATAATCTGAATATAATCATGAGGAAACATCAGACAAATAAAAATTGAGCCATATTCTACAAAATAACTGGCCTGTTTTCTTCAAAAATGTTAAGGTCAGAAAACAAAAAGAAAGACTAAGGAACTGGTTCCATATCAAGGAGACAAGACAGTAAAATACAATGAGTCTGGATTTTATTCAAAACTAAGAAAAAATATACATAGCTATAAAGAATGCCACTGGTGCATGAAATCTGATTAAGGACTATGAATAATGGTTTTGTGTGAATATTAGGTTTCTGACTTGTTTACTATACTATGATTATATAAAACAATTTTCTTGCTTTTAGAAAAACACAGATGTCTCCAACTTAACTCTCAAATGATTCAGTTTATACATATAAAAAGAATGATAAAGTCAACAGGGCAAAATGTTAATTTGCTGAATCTGGGTAAAGGGTATATGGGAGTTCCCTGTATATTCTTGGCACTTTCTGTAAGTTCAAATGAAGCCCTATCTTTTAGAAATATATACTGAAATATGTACAGATAAAATGGTCAGATGTCTCTAATGAGCTTCAAAATAGGGGACAAGTAGACTATAGAGGGACTAATTGGCATTTATTCATAACTGTTACAGCAAAGTAATGGAAATATCAGGTGAATTATACTAGTCTCTGTACTTTTGAATGTTTGAAATTTTCTGTAATAAAAAGTTTTAAAGGAGTCCATAATGGAAAGGTTTTTAAATGGAGAAACTGAGGCTCAGGAAAATTAAGTGGCAACCACATCCAGGAGTCCAGTTTTAAAATATTTCAAATGTATGCCTCTCTCTCCATTAATCCTCCCTTGAAACCTCTTTATATAGCAAGAAGTATCCAAGCAATTTTATTTTTCCCATCTGAAATTTTGGTCAATACCAAACAAATACAGTAAGATACTTCTGACCCCACCATATCTAAAAATATAGTTACCTTTGAGAGTAAACTCAATAAATAACGGCAGAAACTGGCAAATGTTGACAGAAGTTATCTACCCAAGAGGTGATATACAAATTGCTGAAGAGGGGATCCCTGGGTGGCGCAGTGGTTTGGCGCCTGCCTTTGGCCCAGGGCACGATCCTGGAGACCCGGGATCGAATCCCACATCGGGCTCCCGGTGCATGGAGCCTGCTTCTCCCTCTGCCTGTGTCTCTGCCTCTCTCTCTAGCTCTCTCTCTGTGTGACTATCGTAAATAAATAAAGAAATAAAAAAAAGATTTAAAAAAAAAAAAAAAAAAACAAATTGCTGAAGAGATAGAAAAAACAACTGACATTTATTAAGCGCCTATCTATGAACTTAGGTCGTTTAATTCTCCCATCAATGGTGGCATAATGTTTTCCCTTAATTTTTTCTAATTGTGGTAAAATATATATAATACAAAGTAAAGTGATTTTTTTCAATCCCATTTTACACATGAGAAAAATGGAAATGAGCAAGAAATTAAGAAATTTTCCCAAGACAAGCAGCAGCTAGAAAAGTGGAATCTGAACCCAGGTCTTTCTCTAAACTATATGATTGCCATTATATAAATTGACTAACTCTTTTAAATCTCTTAAATTTGGTTTCTAAGAGTCAATACTAAGAGCCTAATCAATTCTGATTTTCTACATCCACAAGCCTAAAATAGCACCAAAATATAGCCCTCCGTGAATAGTCAGCAGATCCCCTAACAATCTTTATACCATACTACTTTTGCAGCAACTTTGGAAACTATATTAGAAGCTAAATTAAATCCAAAAGTATATGAATTGAGATATTTTATCTTTTTTTTATTAAAGATTTTATTTATTTAACAGAGAGATTGCAAGACAGCACAAGCAGGGGGAGTGGCAGAGGAAGGAGGAGAAGCAGAATCCCTGCTGGGCAGGGAGCCTGACATGGGGCTGGATCCCAGGACCCTGGGATCATGACCTGAGCCATAGGCAGACACTTAAACCAACTGAGCCACCCAGGCACCCCTTTATCTTTCTTAAGCTTATTTTGTAAATGGTAAATAAAATCCAAATAATTTTGCAGAGCCACTCTAATAACACACTGAATTCATAGATTTTTAGCTACAGTTAAAATAACTGATTAGAGTGATTATTTTAAAAAGCAGTATTTTGGTCTCATACAGGAGGGACAATATAAATGTCTTAAATCTATCAATACATAATTTATAAATATTATAGAACTTGTATCATCCTTTATTTATATATATGTATACATACATACACACTCACACACAAAATTTTAAAACACTATTAACTACAAGGGTGCCTCAGTGGCTCAGTGGATTAACCATCCAACTCCTGCTTTCGGCTCACATCATGGTCTCAGGGTCCTGGGATCAAGCTCCAACCTCAGCATGGAGTTGGCTTGGGATTCTCTCTCCCTCTCCCTCTGCCCCTGTCCTGCATCCCACGTGCTCTCTCTCCCCCTCTCTAAAATAAATAAAATCTTAAAAAAAAAAAAAAAAAACAAAACACTATGAACTATAGCAGAAAATACAGTAGGAATTTGACTTATGTGACAACCAATCTGCCTGATTAAACCAGTGACACAGTGGTGAAATGATTATCAGGCAGATACAGAACAAATCTGTGTACACAATAGCCTCCCTTACCAAAACACTTAAAAAGCTTGAGGACCCCCAAGACCAAAGCATTACAGATCAGTGCCAAACTGTAAAACACACATACATATGGTTCTAGTCTCATATATTTTGTAGGCTGAAAATGGCTTTCAAAATAAAGTACTTATATTTCATATATTTCTTCTTTCTTAAATTTAAATCACTTTTTTTTATGATTCTGTTTGTTATTTTAAAAATCAAAGAGGTAGAGCACCTGAATGTCCAAGTTGTTGATTGGGGGGAAAACATACAATAAAGATTAAATCCAAAATAAGGGCTCAGAGTTGCTATCTACAGGAGTTCACCATATCTCAATCACTTTGTACTTCTTTTTCCGGCAAACCTTTTTCCATACGTGTCTAAAACTATATACATATAATAATCAAAAGTTTTAAAATTGTAAATATTACCCAGTTGCTTTAGAGGGGGAAAAAATATCCTCCAAAATACCAACAAAGTATAAATGTCCTCATATTCAAATCCTTTCAAAACCACCACTGAAAACTACAGATAAAACACTGCCCTGATCATCTACAGAAGCCTACTTGCAAAGAGTTCTATTTCAATGTATTGACTAATATACATGTGATGCAACTAAGAAAATATATACTAAAACCAAGTACCACCCAAAAAAATTACTCCCATCTAAACTAAGAGGAAGACAAATGTGAAAGCAAAAAGCTACAGGCAACAAAAAGTATTTTTCCTCCTATCATGAAAAACAAAAACCTTAAAACGTTTTTTAATTAAAAAAAAAAAAAAAGACAACTTACTAGCATGCTTGTCTGCAAGCATTATAAGCGTGTTGGAAATATCTCTTCGTCTATAAAAGCACACTACTTTTGCTTCCACGTTGCCAGTTGCAGTCTAAGAAATAAGAAAAATAAAAGTTATTTGTACTGAATAGTAGATTCAAATAGTTTATAAAACAAAACTAAATACAATATAACTGTAAAAACACTCTCATTTATACTGTGCCAACCGCAACTGCAGGATAATCAGAGAGCTAAAAAATTCAAATGAGGATGAGCAGCATTTGCAATGGTTCCAAGTGAAACTGAAATGTCAAACATACAATAACTTACTAGCATCAATTAAACTAAAGTGATCAGATCACTTTAATGAGCCAGGGAGTGAAATCTGATTAGCCTTGAGAAATTAATCCCCCAAATTTTAAAAGCCACAATGTAACTTATTTAAAACAGTTAAACATATCTCCTCCAAACCCACTCCCAGAAGCATAGGCTGAGTAAAACCATGCTGCCTGCTCTCTCTCCTAAACACTTCCAAAATGTTTGACTGATGGTGAACCTCTGTGAATTTGGGCAGCCATCACCCATTAGAATGGAGCAGACGACTTGGAAAAGCATTCTCCAGCCCAGGTAAATCTATGAATCTGTAATAGTCAATATTCTCAGTAGTAGTTATTTTACATTCACATGTGAAAGTATTAAAAACTCTGAGTTATGAACACTAAAGCTCTTATGTATTTTTGACTCCGATCTAGAATACAACCAATATTAAGTTAGGTTGTAATTTACTGCAGCTGGGGCTCAGGATCCTACTCTCCTCCTTTCCTTATGAATGTTGAGAACTTTCAAGGTCCATCATTCATGACAAAGTTCCTTCTAAAAACACATAAATAGATTACAGTAAAATCCTACTGTGATTTCCAATTTCAAAAAAATTTGAGAACAAATTTTCAGAATTTCTCTGGACTTACATATTCGGACATAAATAATATACGTTGCAGTAAATGTGTCGATTTTATGAAATTCAGCAGCAGTATTTTAGAGTGAGAAATAGTCATGGGGAAATATTGCCCCTTTGAATTGAAATCATATTAAATCCTAACCAAAGTGCTTCTATATTTCACAATGCTGTGATCAAATACATCCTCCAGAAATAATGATCCAGCAATCTAATAAATGAACAGGCCAATATTTCTTCTAAATAAAATCTATCAATGCCTACAATTACAAGCTCTTTATCAGTTTTGTCTTAAGACAAAAGCATGTTCAAAACCCAAAGCAAGCATTTAAAAGCATATTTTTTCTGCCTCTTTAGTGAATTCCTCCATTAGGAATACTCTACAAAACTAATTAAATTCTTATTTAAACCTGCTTGAGGTGGAGCAACATAGTTCAAAACAGTCTCTTCTGAACGATGCACACACTTGGCCATTGGGTAGTTAATAACTACAGTACTCCTCTTCCTCTATACAAATACACCCTTTCAAGCATGACTCTAAAGTTAAGCTACTCAAACTGTGGTCCAAGGCCTGGTGTACAACTGTTGCTGTGTAATCAAATGAGAACAGAGACTGTATGTTAGAGCATTTAGTAGTTAATTTTAATCTATTGAACCTAATAATGAAAAACGAAAGCCTGTGTTTTTATATGTCTATTTTAAATTTCATTTTTCTACTTTTTTTAAATTTTATAGAAGTATCTGAGATAGTGAATTCTTAAAAATCTTTCACCACAAAAAAAAAAAAAAAAATTCTTTCACTACAAATAGTTTCACCTCTAAAGACCTAGGTTAGAAGCTCCTGACTTGCTCAGTCAGTAGAGCATGCAACTCTTGATCTCAGGGCTGTAAATTCAAGCCCCACACTGGATGTAGAGATTACTTAAATATAAAATCTTAAAAGGGGGGCCTGGGTGGCGCAGTCAGTTAAGTGGCTGGTTTCAGGGTTGTGAGATCATGTGTCAAGCTCCAAGTCTGCTGGCAATTGTCTCTCCCTCTGCCCCACCCAAAGACACACGTGCATGCTCTCTTTATCAAATAAATAAATCTTTAAAATAAAAAAGCAGCCACAATGGATGTTAATTTCTTTGCTGTGTTCTTTTCTCCACTTAGGTTGCAGCCTCTTAAATCCCTATTCTGTGAAGCACAGTTACTAAAACATCCTCTAGCGATAAGGAGCTTTTCTTTAAGCTCTAAATTCATTTTAGTCAACTTCATATTCATGTCTGTTTCTATCCCAGACTTAGAAGTACATCATTAAAACAAAAACAAAACAAAAAACCCAACACACACACACATACTTCCATTTCAGAAAGTCTGTGGTTTGTCTAAAATAAAGAACAAATGAAAAGGGATTTTCTGGGATGCCTGGGTGGCTCAGAGGCTGAGCGTCTGCCTTTGGTTCATGGTGTGATCCCAGGGTCCTGGGATCGAGTCCCACATCAGACTCCCCGTGGGGGGCCTGCTTCTCCCTCTGCCTGCGTCTCTGCCTCTGTGTGTCTCTCATGAATAAATAAAATTTATTTATTTTATTTAAAGGAAAAGGGACTTTCCTTTCCCAATTTCTGTCTTTATTCCCAAGAGAATCCAAATGGCAGGAGGGGTCTTGGCTTACATGAGGGAATCTCCTGAAATTATGTGCAAATTCTTCTATGTGCAAATTCTTCTATGTGCAAATGTAGATGGAGGCAGAGGGTGTCATCAGACACTCAAATTAGTGACTCCCCTCTCCTCATTCAAAAGCCGCAAGACTCGAAACAGTAAAATGAATCTCAGAGCAAGTCAGATAGCTAATAAAATATACAGAATATGAAGGTACACAACAAATTATACAACATATGCAACAAAACCAAAAGAAATAGCAAGTAATATGCCAATTTTTCTGCAAACTGAACTTACAAAACCTCATGAGACTATACCATTATAAGGTGCACATAGCTCTCTCACCATGCATGCAAACAGAATCTTTAGAAGTAGAAGCAGGGGTGCCTGGGTGGCTCAGTGGTTGAGCAGCTGCCTTTGGCTCCGGTAGTGATCCTGGAGTCCCCGCAGGGAGCCTGTTTCTCCCTCTGCCTATGTTTCTGCCTCTGTCTGTGTCTCTCATGAATAAATAAATGAAATCTTAAAAAAAAAAAAAAAAAAAGGTAGGAGCAACACCCAACCTAGACAATGACTAAATAAATTTTACCAAAAGTTGTTTTCATAATTTTAAATCTTATATTCGTCCTCCAGAAAATAATCTTCACAATATCTGTGTACAAATTAGGAGAGGAAAAAAGGGAACATAAGATAATCAACATTGAACTGTGTTCATGGACTGATAATTATTTTTGCACCTAAAAGTTCCTGAAACTTTAAGGAAAAAAAATTGAGACAAAAATCTATTATCAGAAATATCTGGCTGCCTCAGTTGGTGGAATGTGCAACTCTTGATCTCGGGCTGAGGAGTTTGAGCCCCATGTTTGGTGTAGAGACTACTTAAAAATAAAATCTTTAAAAATAATCTGGAGCACCTCAGTGGTGCAGTCAGTTAAGCATCTGCCTAAGGCTCAGGTCATGATCCTAGGATCCTGGGATGGAGCTCCGCATGGGGGTGTGGGGGGGTCCCTGCTTGGCGGGGAGCCTGCTTCTCCCTTTCCTTCTGCCTGCTGCTCCCCCTGCTTGTGCTCTCTGTGAAATAAATAAATTCTTTTTTAAAAAATTATTACTGTAATTTAAAAAAAAATACTATAGTCCAGCTTTCAAATTGAACAAGTAATATTTCAAATAGGATTTTTTTAAAAAAATCAGAAACCATTCTATAAAAGTGAATTGTCTAAAACAATGGTGATTGACAGCTTATCCTTAAGAATTTTGTTACAAAAACATTCTATTCAGAAGATAATTAATAGGGGCCCTAGGCTCCTGGCTGACTCAGATGGTAGAGCATAATGACTTTAGATTTCAGAGTCTTTTGATCTCAGGGTCCTTAGTTCAAGCCCAACACTGGGTGTAGAGATTATTAAAATAAATAAACTTCAAGAACATAGTTAATGAGAAAGGTTAATGTTCCTTTTTTTCTTTCATTTTTTTATTTAACTAATGTCTACACCTAAATGCGGCTTAAACGCTGGACCCCAAAATCAAGTCACATGCTCTATTGACTAAGCCAGACAGGTACCCTGAAGCTAATGTCCTTTCTTATCCTGGCTTATCAATTAGAGTATAAAGGTGTTCTTAAATTCATTATTTGGATTTTCCGTCATGTTAACTTTCCCCACTTTGCCAGCTTGACCTCTGATCCTCTCAGGGCCTTTATGTGGAACGCTAGTATGGCATCCCTCCCATGGCTACCTCTTTCTCATCCTTTAGGCTTAAACTTCAATGTCCTTTTTTTTTTTTTTAAGATTTTATTTATTTATGCATGAGACACACACACACACAGAGAGAGAGAGAGAGAGGCAGAGACACAAGCAGAGGGAGAAGCAGGCTCCATGCTGGGAGCCTAATGTGGGACTCAATCCCAGGACCCCAGGAACACTCCCTGCGCCAAAGGCAGGCACTCAACTGCTGAGCCACCAGGCGTCCCCAACTTCAATGTCCTTAAAATCCTTTCCTTTTCTATCCAAAAGAAGTGACTTCTGTTATTCCCTACGTTAAGGCTCTTGTTTAACGTCAGACGTGTGAGAAATTCATTAATTCAATAAATATTTACTGAATGCCTTAACTATGTGCCAGTCTCTTACTCTAAGGCACTTGGGATGAATTAGTGAACAGAAAAGATCACTACACACAGAGCTTACATTCTAGTCCGGGAAAACAGACAATGAAAACAAACACAATAATTAACTATATTTGAAAGTGATAAATGATATGGAAAAGAGCAAGGTAGAGCAAGGTACAGGGAATTAGAAACAACTTGGTGGGGTGGTCCTGAGGTACGTGAAAACAGCCAAGAGTCTACTGTCTTTGGAGCTAAATGAACAAGGCAGAGAGCAGTAAGAGCAGTAAGAGTGGAGGTCAGAGGGATAGGGAGCAGCCAGAGAATATGTTTCATAGGCCAACACTTCTCTTTGTATCCTAATTAATTTTCTAAATAAACTCATAAACAGTTTCAAGTTGCCTACACTCTTACACATCAATAAAATAAAAGAGAAGATCAGAATGAGGGCAGCCCAGGTGGCTCAGCGGTTTAACAACGCCTTCAACACAGGGCCTGATCCTAGAGACCGGGGATCAAGTCCTGCATCAGGCTCCCTGCATGGGCCTGCTTCTCCTCTGCCTGTGTCTCTGCCTCTCTCTCTCTCTGTGTGTGTGTGTGTGTGTGTGTGTGTCTCCTGAACAAATAAATAAAATCTTTAAAAAAAAAAAAAAAAAAAGATCAGAATGACACCCCAACTGTTCCCACCAACAGACTGATCTAATCCTGAGGCCATTTTCTTCATTTGATGGTGGTGGTCTCAACCACAACAGAATTTTTATAGATGTAAGGTCCATGGGGATGTCTCCAGAAGCAAACCAAGATCTCAGGGTTCATAAACCAGAAATGCCCTAAACCAGATCTTACATCCTGGGACTCAGAACTGCCCCAGTCTCTAGAAGGTACTTTGGAGGAAAGGTATTAGCTAGACAGCTTCCGACATTTTAACACTATGAACTCTCATAAGTCAAACAAATAATCTTCAAAGTTGGTTTGGAGGAAACCAGAGCACCATTAGTAATCCATGGTTCATATAGTTTATGGCTTTTCATATGCTACCATTATAATAAGCTCACCTACTGCAAACAGTCACAAAGCTTCTGCTGTCAGGCCTAAAGTAGGAAGCTACTTTACATTATAACAAAACTGTATTCTTATTAGTTGACCTAGTCCAAAATTTTACAAATTCCCTTCAATACTACATTTCCTAGCTTCCTCTTTCTAAAGCTGAAAGAGGAAAAAATAATTCCCTGAAAGAGAGAAATACAATTATGACTCTAAATATAAAAAGGGACTGAGTTACAAGAGTGACCTGCTCTGAGAAGATCTGAGCAACGTGAAGAAATCTGCAGATTTTTTTTTTTAAAGATTTTATTTATTTATTCATGAGAGACACACAGACAGAGAGGCAGAGACGTAGGCAGAGGGAGAAGCAGGCTCCATGCAGGAAGCACGATGTGGGACTTGATCCTGGGACTCTGGGATCACACCCCGAGCCAAAGGCAGATGCTCAACCACTGAGCCCAGGCATCCCAGAAATCTGCAGATGTTAAATATTCAGTAACATTTAATACCATAGGTAATTATAAAAGCAAAAGAAAATTCAGAATCCTGCATAACTCTCTAATCTTCAATCTCTAGTTTCAAAGAGTCCAGGACTGAAAGTAAAACCACCTCTTATGCCCTTTACCTAATTACTCTTCAATGGAAAACAATTATTTTTTAACATTAGAATCAAGAACACTTAGCGTTTATACCTTGTTGAGTTCTTCTATCCTTCTGATTAGGTACGGGTTACTGGAGGAATTCTCAAAGTAGACATAATCTGTAATTAAAGGAAGTAAAGACCTTAATCTTTTCAACAGAAAGTTCACATTTGTCAATCTATGACTTTCTATATTAGGCAATGCACATTCAAAATTAAGCACATAATTCATTCCCGGTTAAAAGCAAATTTAGCAATACAACCTTAATATATTTTCTCATGCCTACTATTCACAGACCTTATTTTCCTGAAATTTTCATTTAACAATTAATGTTTTATCAAGCTCTCTGAGCCTTTCATGCCACACATCACTTCTTTAATAATAAACAAAAAGACTCCTCATCACCGAGTAGTCAGGGCTGACTAAACATGTGTCTTTCATGCTGTAACTGCTTCCACATCTTTCCCCTCCAATCCAATTTACCCTGGAGTATGCTTCTCACATAAAACTATTGACCTAAGACAAATTCAGAGCATCTTGAAAAGCTTAGCAGCCCAAAGTACATTTCAATCACCAACATAAAAAAAAAAAAAAAATCAGGTGAGCAGAATAGGTAAGAGGAAGCACACTGACAAACTTTTCCACAGTTCTATCTGGGATGATGGGGGTGGGGGGCGGGCATGAAAGGGGATTCCCTTTCTGAGAGACAGAGCTTTCTGGAGACGGTTATCAGGATTTTGTTATGCTCTTTGCCATATTTAATACAGATCCATTTGGGGTCTTGTTATAAAAAAAAAAATCACCGCAGGCTTTCAATAAAAAAGATAAAAATTTTCAAGTATGGCTTTTCCGCGCATGTAATAGGCTCACTGGAAACTTCCCACTGTGTGTTTATTTGAAAGGCTGGGCTGCATTGTTATTGTCTATCTTAGTGGCTCTTTCCGTCGTCTCTCTTCTGCAAAGTGGCCTCATTTGGCCAGGCCATTCCCACCACCATCCATCAGGAGCTCAGCTAATGAGCAGAGAAGACCAAGTCTCACACACAAACACGCCACTTATCTGAATTATTATTCTACCAAGAAAGAGGGAGGAGGGCGTCGTGAGTAGGGAGAAAGTTTGTTTGACCTTATTTCTCTTTTCTGCAGAGGGCTGAGAAGGCAGTCACCAGAGCAAACGTCCGGGCAGGGCTCAACTCCCCACCTCTGGCCCCGGTGCCCTGGCCCCACTACGCCCCATCTTGGGGGGGGCTGGGCAAGAAACGGGAGGGGGGAGTGAGGAAGGAGAGGTGAAGGGCCCTATCCCCGCAAACAGGCCTGTCCAGCTGTGCCCTGGCTGAGCCCCCATCGCCCCCACCCCCCACTCCCAATTGAAGGGGTGAAGGAGTAGAGCAGGGGGGGTGTCCCCCATCCTCTCCAACCCCCCCCACTGCCTGGAAGCCACGCAGGGAAAGAGCACCCCATTGGGGGCTCGACGGCCGACACCCAATGGGGGCGTCTTGGAGGGGGGCAGCTGAGAATTCACACCCCAGTACAGGCCCGGCCGGCCCTGGAAAACTGAGCGGGGGTGCGAGCGAGGGGGAAGGTGGGCGCCGGCCCCCGGCGGGCCACGGCCGGGGGAGGGGCGCGTGGCGGGGGTGGGGAGCCCCGGCCCCTCCTGCGGGCCCCGGCGCCCCTGCCCCCCGCGCCCGCGGCCCCCGGCGGTTAGGGTGAACTCGCCCCGATCCCCCACTCCCGGAGCCCGCTCCCAGACGGGCCGGGTCGGGCCGAGCCTTCCTACCTCCGACCCGGTACATGTTGGCCGCCATGTCCGCCCGCCCGCCCGCGGAGCCCGAGCCGAGCCCCGCCCGCCGCGCCGCGCCGCGCCGCCGCCGCCGCCGCCGCCGCCGCCTCAGCCTCGGCCGCCTCAGCCTCGGCCGCCGCCGCCGCCGCCTCGCCGCGGGGGGGAGGGGAGGGAGGGACCGAGGGGAGGGGGAAGTGAAGGGGAGGGGACGCCGCGGGGTGGGGGCAGGTTCCCGCCCCCAGCGACCGGCCAGCCAGGCCGAGTGGGCCGGGCCGGGCCGGGCCGGGCCGGGGGAGGTCGCTGCCGGGCCCGCGGGGACCTGGGGAGGCGGCGGCTTGGGGGCCCTCGCTGGAGGTGGACGACCCCAGGGCAAGGGTCGTGGCCGAAGCGGAGGCCTGCAGTGGCAAATGCGGACCTGGAGCTGTTGGAGAATTGGGGTGGGGGCAGGGGCTCAGGCTCTCCCGAGCCCACACAGCCCCAGCCACCGTACCCTGTCACCTGGCCACCCGCAGACAGGTCTTCCTCCTTGCTCCGTCCCTGGGGAGCCCTTGTCTGCAAGCCCTTGAGCACGTGGGCGCCTGCCTCAGGGCAAACACTTGGAAACAAATGAGTGCGCCCAGCAGAGCGCCTGCCTCTTGGTGGTGATGGAACCTGCATACCCTGGGGCCAGGAGGACCCCGGGTGCTACCAGCTTCCCCAGGGAGCGTGCTAGCTGCAGAGAAGTCTAAAAACACTGACCCCCTCCCAAGTCACCCCAACTGCATTGACAGGTCTATCAAGTTCACCCCACACCTGGGCTGAACAGAACCCACTCCCAGCGGAGGCCTGGCCTCTAGACAGGCCCTATATCCAGGGCTGCCCTGCCAGGAAAAGAGGCCCTTAGGAAAGGGACCCTACCTATTCGCCATTCCCACCCCCTCTCCACAAAGGGGGAGATGGTTTCAGTCCCCTTACTGTTGATGGACTTTTAACTAGTTATGTGCCTAACGCTTTTAAATCATTATTTTCCCATGCCAATTCTCTAGGCAATCCCAGCATTCTCAGCCTCCATTCCCTCACCGAAACAAACAAAAAACCAAATTGAATTGAATCTTAGCTGGCAATCCCCCAAATGAATGCAAACAACTTTTTAAAAAGCCAACAGCACCTGACTCTTGATTTTGGCTCAGGTCATTATCTGGAGGTGGTATCCAGGCACACCGCCCCCCCTCCCCCAAGCTCAGTGAGGAGTCTGCTTGGGATTCTCTCTCCCTGTCTCTCTGCCTCTCCTCCAAGCACTCTCTCAAATAAATGAATCTTGATAAAAACTTGTTTTAAATTGAAAAAATAAAAAGCCAATCCATTCCAAACTATTTCCAGACATCATTATATAATCAAGGGTAAGATGATCCCTCACTGTTGTGAGTTGTTTGTGGAGTTTCTGGTGATTTACAGCTACATGTTGGTGACCCTGGGTATGGGATCTGTGCAGGGATGGGCAGTATCCCCAGAAAAGAAGATTGTGTTGTGTTTGAATGGTGATGGCATATGTGATGGTCCATGATCACAAATTATTAAATTGAAAAAAATAATGCTCTATATAGATGAGGCAAAGTAAAAAATAAAGCACATTTGCCTGAATTACCTTGATGATGTGTGTCACCCAAATTTCTTCAGGTACAAAATGAGAACATTAATTCCATTTCACAGGTGGGGTAAGGATCAGTTGTGACAATATATGAAAATGCTTTATAAACTATTCAGCATAGAGCACTATGCAAATAACAGGTGTCTGTTGTTTTTTATTAACTCCATAAAGTTTCAGATTCCCAAGGGTTTTTACACCCTGTGTACAGTGTGAACCTGTGTCAGCTCTGACCCAGACAAAAAAGCAGAAGTGTTCTGTTATGCACACTGACTAGCTGTTACCATAATCCTTTTACTGGAGATCCCACAGAAAACATATTGTGACATATCTGACATCACTCTCTCCATTTCTGTGCTGACAAATAGATTGAATAATTCACCTGGAGTCATCCAGCAGTATTGGGATTATAATTCTGCCCTTTCCTCTGGCCTAGAATTCTCTAAACCAGGAAGCCTTTCTCCAGTGAACAGGCCTCTGGAAACCATAAATTACAAAGGAATGTATCACAAGTTTTAAAGTGTTTGCCCATTAGTTTTTTTTTTTAATTTTTTTTTATGACAGTCACAGAGAGAGAGAGAGAGAGAGAGAGAGAGAGAGAGAGAGAGAGAGAGAGGCAGAGACACAAGCAGGCTCCATGCACCGGGAGCCCGACGTGGGATTCGATCCCAGGTCTCCAGGATCGCGCCCTGGGCCAAAGGCAGGCGCCAAACCGCTGCGCCACCCAGGGATCCCTGCCCATTAGTTTTAAGTAAATGAGCAAGGGATCCCCAACATCTCTTCTTTAGTGATGAGGATGGCTGGCATAGAGAGTAGGAACCTGATATGTAGGAAGCTCTTGACATGTGATGAACACTTTATATATTTAAATTTTTAGCACAAGCCTTTGCTATAGGTGTCAGTCCGTAATCATATTTTGAAGAATTTGAGGCTCAGAGGGGTTAAGTGTCTTGCTCAAGGTCTTAAAGCTAAATACCCAAAGTAGGAGTGAAGTTTAGGTCTGGTTGATGGCATGGTTGTGAGCTGAACCATGCAGCCTATGGAGGTGGAGGTGCCTTTGCTATCTTTGAAGATTAAGACTTTTCCACCCTTTGTCTGGTCCAAGGGTTTCTTTTAATCTCCAAACACTTGCTAACCTCCCATATGGCAGTACTTTTTTTTTTTTTTTTTTTTTTTAAGATTTTATTTATTGGGATGCCTGGCTGGCTCAGTGGTTAAGCATCTACCTTCGGCTCACGGCATGATCCCGGGGTCCTGAGATCGAGTCCAACATCGGGTTCCCTATAGGGGCCTGCTTCTCCCTCTGCCTGTGTCTCTGCCTCTCTCTCTCTCTCTCTCTCTCTCGATACATAAATCTTTAAAAATAAAAATAAAAATAAAGAAGACCTGTCTCTCAGACCATGCCAGAAATCCCAGGGCACATCCAGCCTCCTGTGGGTAAAATTTCCTGGCACGGCTATTGTGATTAAAGAATCAGGATAAGAGATTTCCTAAAGGCCCAAGACATTCCTTGTGTCAGTTTATAGCATCCTACCACTTAGCTGAAGAGAAATGGATGTTCAGGAAAACATTAGATGAGACAGAGTTGGTTTTTGTCATAATCTGAGGATGGAGTTTTCGAACAGGCTCTGCGGAGCTGACTGAAGGGTCTGGAAGCTTTGTGATATCAGGAAAGGAACTTTTGTGAGGGATGGGGGGTATAGAATGTAACTAATCTGAGAGTAGAGGCCAGGCTTTGAATAAAGGACTATATTTTATTGTGTTTTCTATGATTCATCTCTCTCTTTTTTTTTCTTATCTTTCACAAACTTATTTAGTAACATTCTTTTGGAAAGAGGCAAGCCTGTCTCAGCTATTCTAAGGAAGTCTGGGTTTTAAAGGTGGAGGAATGTATCCTAGGAGAAAGGTAAGGGTACAACAGCAAGAATCAAAGGAAGCGAGCCCCTGAGGGAAAGAAAACCAGAGTCAGGAGTCTGGTAGTTTCTCCTGTGAGGGAGGTTCTCCTTCCATTTGTCCCGTGCTGAAAACATGAAACTCAGGGTCAGTCCCAGGTCTTTTTTGGAAATGTGCATTTTAGGATTTCATGGTTCTCTTGAGCCCTCAAAGGGGAACTGGCTCAGCCCTTGGGTTGCCTCCACAAGGAGGTTCCTACTCTGATGACAACATTGCTTCCAGGTAGCAGAAAAGTCACAAAGGGGACAAGCATGAGCTCTTGGAAGGTTGAATTAGTTGATCTCAGAGCTTCCCCTTTAGCCTGCCTAGTGCTATGAGTTTGATGGCTGGACAGTACAGGGCGTGGAGTTAGGAAAGAGAATTCTAAGGGGCAATGGGAATGTCTAAGGGATATTACAGGAACTGTTTATAGGAATGACCCAGGCTTCAGTAAAGGGGATTAGATAGGGCAGAGAGTCTAGGCAAGAGATCAGTTGGCAGGCTGGCAAAAGGGATGATGGCCTGACCTAGAGTAGAGGCAGTGGGATGGGAAAAAAGTAGAATGATCTGAGAAAGACTTAGGAGGTGGAGGCTATGTGACCCAGTGGCTCTGGGGAGGCACAGAGTGAAAAGGTAGCACCAAGTTATGAGTAACTGGGTAGAGAGAGGTATGATGTGGTGAGTTTTTTTTTTTTTTTAAGGGAATTTTTTTTTAATTTTTTATTTATTTATGATAGTCACAGAGAGAGAGAGAGAGAGAGAGAGAGAGAGATAGAGAGAGAGAGGCAGAGGGAGAAGCAGGCTCCATGCACCGGGAGCCTGATGTGGGATTCGATCCTGGGTCTCCAGGATCGCGCCCTGGGCCAAAGGCAGGCACCAAACCGCTGCGCCACCCAGGGATCCCTGATGTGGTGAGTTTAAAATACTGTAGGGGAGGTAGTACCTGGCTGGCTCAGCAGGAAGAATATAAGACTCTCAATCTCAAGGTTGTGAGTTGAATCCCCACATTGAGTGTACAGAGTACTAGAAACAAAATAAACTTGTTTTTTAAAGATTTTATTTATTTATTCATGAGAGACACAGAGAGAGGGGCAGAGACACAGGGAGAGGGAGAAGCAGGCTCCATGCAGGGAACCCGATACGGGACTTGATCCTGGGTCACCAGTATCATGCCCTGGACCAAAGGTGGTGTTAAACCTCAGAGCCACCAGGTCTGCCCACAAAATAAGCTTTAAAAAATTAATTAATGAGGGGATCCCTGGGTGGCTCAGCGGTTTGGCGCCTGCCTTCGTCCCAGGGCAAAATCCTGGAGTCCCAGGATCAAGTCCTGCATCCGGTTCCCGGCATGGAGCCTGCTTCTCCCTCCTCCTGTGTCTCTGCCTCTCTCTCTCTCTCAATCTGTCTGTCTATCATAAATAAATAAATAATAATTAATTAATTAATGAAAAAAATTATAAAATACTGGGTCTGGCTGGCTGGCTCAGTTGGAGGAATAATGTGA